GGGGCCGGGGAGATGGCTCAGTAGGATAAGCGCTTGACTGGCAAATGCAAGGATCTGAGTTCAATCCCCAGTTCTGCCAAAAAAAAAAAAAAAAAAAAAGAAAAAGAAAAAAACAAAAACAAAAAAAAAATTATGTTGAGATTCCACATCACCCAATCAGAATGGCTATCATCAAGAAGAAAAAAAAAAAAAAGTTGTCCAGGATGTGAGGTAAACGTGGGAGTCTGTCAAGCTGCACTCTCCTAAGACATAAAGTTGCCTCAATCTTTCCCTAACTTCTCCTTCAACCCTATTCACTGAAATATGCAAACTTAGCTACATTGAAACAGATGTTCCCTATATTGGCAAAAGGAATCGTGTCCCCTCTGGCTGAGGCACCTGTGAGTCTCAACCCTAACAATACAGCTGTGCACAGGTGAGAATAGACCCCTCCTAATGGCTGGAATGGGTGCTCAAGCAGAAGCCTGTGAGATGCCAGGGCTAAGACATAGGACAACAGTCCAACTGAGGCCTTGGGACTCAGAAAGAAAGAATTATACCTTCCTGGAAGTAACGATGCCAGCTTGGCATATATCAAGATATCTTTGTATTGTTAATTAGAGGTCTTTGTGCCTGGTACAAAGTTGCTGTTTCTCATTACAGCCAGTGCCTGCAGTTTCTTTTTCTTATAGTCTACCATGATCCCCACACACTTTCCTGATTAATACCAATAAAAGCCAGGAGCTTTTGGACATGAGGCCTTTTATTCAACAGAGAACAATGGTCACCCCAGAGCTCCTCAAGTGTCGCACTTTCTGTCTTGAGTTTACATGTGTGTGTCGTATTGTCAGGTAGGTTAGACTGACACCATCTGCAGGGGTTCTGGTAGAAAAAAAAACAAAACTTTTGAAGTAGAATAGAAATGAGTATAGCTTCTATGGAAATCAATATGAAAGTTTCTCAAAAAGCTAACAGTACAGCTATTACATTAACCAGTTATACCACTCCTTGAAACATATACAAGAAATTAATGTCAGCATACTATAAAAATGTCAGCATCCCCATATTTATTACAGTACCATTCATGGGAGCCAAGATATGGAATCAGTTTAGGTACTTACCAACAGATAAATGAAAAATTTAGGAATATATAAACAATTTTCACTATTATTTAGTCATAAAGCAAAACAAACTTGTATTTTCAGGAAAGTGGATGGAACTAGAAATATTCATTTTAAAACAAAATAATTAAGACTCAGAAAGACAAGCATTAAATATTTTCTAGGCCTAATAAATAAGAAAAGATGACATGAAAGTAAAAGGAAAACTATCATTAGATAAGAGTAAGGAAAGAATAAGGAGAAAGAAGGGATAAGTTCTAAGGGAGAGCAAGGGAGCAGGAGAATAGACATATTAGTTGTATTGTTAAGTGATGTTAATGTTGACATAAATTCATTGAGATGAAAAAGATTTCCACTACATTCCATTCAGTGAAATATCAGTTACAAAAGAGTATATATGGTACTGGCTATTGGTTTTATATTGAAAAGGACTTTAATATGTAGACACTCCTCATTTAATGACCAATCTCTGTTCCTGTGACATCAATAAATGAATGGGCCACTGAATGAAGAATTTCATTCAGTGAAATTCTTCAGTGAAATTCAGTGAAATGTAAAGTGTATACATTGCAATATTCTGAACAAAGAAATAGTCAAAGGAAAGTCCAACGTGAGGACTTTGTTTTTATTTGCATAACTCTTACTTTCAGTACTATAATGCATGACAGGACATAAAACTACAATACTATAAGTACAATTAGCAAACATTAAAGAACTGTATAGAGTGTATAAAAACTGACAATGAAAGTCTACGAGCAAGATATAAAGAACTGTATTAAAAATATGGGTCATGCATCTAAGTGGTAAATTTTAAGTACAAATACTGCAGATCTATTGTAAGTCCAACAGTCACTAAATGAAGTGATTAAACAAAGTATACTAGTATAGAGGAATTAAATCATGTAGAACGGTGTTCACTTAACTATTTTATTCTGTCTATATGAATGAATACATTTATATTTTGGTTTAAAAATCTTTTTTGAATTGGGCTATTACAAAATGTTTGTACTTCTCTCATTTAAAAAAGCTTAGAGAAAAATTAATTTCTTTGATTTTTACGTACTGCTCTATTTTTTTCTCCATTAGCTTTCTATGCTTTGAGCAAAAACTCTTCTCACATGGAGTGTATACACTGATTCAAATTTGCTTTCTCCTATTTTGTATTTACTTCAAAACGTTAACCAAGTTTGAACACATTATTACATCAAAACTGCTATTACTGAGGTCAGAGACACTTCTAGGCTAACAAAGCCAATAATCAATTCTTTTTTTTTTTTTTTTTTTTGCCAGCTGAAAAACCATTTTATACAAATTCACAGTGTCTGTATTTTGTAGAAAACAGGGGAGAGGAGGGGTGACTTCCAGCTCAGGAGGTGTCCATGGTTTCCCCTTTGAGCTCATTGAAGAGGAAGGCGTCCTGGTACTCCTTCATATACTGCGTGGATCGAGACTCATCCAGGAAGAGCGAGTAGACCCTCTTGATGTCATCTACCTGTACCTCTGCACCCTTGCGTTTCCGGCACACGAGGCTGGCTGCCGTGATGAGCTGGATGGCGTAGCGCAGTGACGTCTCTAGCCCGATGCGGGTGAGAACAGTGTAGGCGTCCTCACTCATCTCCACATCCTCCTCCTCACACCGAATGCGCAGGATCTGCTTGGTGTCCTTCTCGCTGTAGGGTGAGGTGGAGATGATCAGCAGCCGGTCCAGCAGGTCGATGGGGATGCCATGGGGGCTCTGGTAACTGGTGCCCCGGATCCATGTGATGCCCCAGTTGGTGGCCATGATAAGGACAGGTGCCATGTCACTCTCCAGGGCCCGGTTGAGGAAAGAGAAGCTCTCAATATCCAGCATGTGCACCTCATCGATGAAAAGCACCCCGGGAATGATCTCCGCTTTGCCCTCCTCACGCCACTCTGCCACCTTGGCATTGATCTGCTCTCGGACTTCTGACTTGATCTCCCCTGTGTCACCTGAGAAGAGAGCCAGGAAGCCCTGGGTGCGGGAGTTGATGACGTCAATCTCATGCAGGGACACGGTGTGCACCACCTCCTTGCGCTTCTGTAGCTCCCCATCTGGGCACTGCACGAACTTGGTCTGGGAGCCCATGGCGTCGTAGTCACGGGCACGCGTGAAGGAGCGGCCCAGCTTGGAGATCTTGCCAGTGGCCTTGTCGATGGTGATCACGTCCCCAGCCTGGACCTTGTCCTTGGTCAGTGACTCGATCATCTTGGTGCCCAGGTCGTAGATGGTCTCCATCTCTGTAGTCTTGAGGGTCAGTTTGCCCACCTTGGAGCCCGTCCCCGTCGCTGGCCGATCGATCTGAATCTCCACCACCTCCCCTTCGATGATCTCTGTCTCCTCCTTGATGCGGACGCCAATAGAGCGGCGGAAGGCCTGTGTGAGTGCTTCAGTCTTGCTCATTTCCAGGGAGAAGATCTCGCTGCCGGCGATGGCCGTGAATGGGGTGTCCGGGCCCAGGGCCTGCGCCATGCCCATGGCGATAGCGGTCTTCCCGGTGCCCGGCTGGCCAGCAATGAGGACGGCCCGCCCAGCAATCTTCCCCTCTCGGATCATCTCCAGCACCACACCGGCTGCTCGCCGGGCCGCCAGCTGACCCACCATTCCCTGGGAAGCCTGGAGAGGCTCCAAGGCATCATCCAACCCGAGTCCCCGTATGTGGGAGTGTGCACCAATGCGCTCGATCCTCGTCACATCGCGGATCTCTGGGACTTTGGTTGTGGCAGCCACGGTTGCCATGATGCTCACTAAACGGTGGATCCAATAATCAATTCTTAATCTTCATTTTATTTTATCAATTAACATCACTTAATACAATTAATTGCTTCTTTTCTAAAATCCCATCTTCTTCCACATTTTCTTTCAAGACACCCCCACCCAAACTTTTATTTTCAGTCTCTTTTCAGTTCCTCTTTACTTGACTAACCTGTATAAGTTGCAGTACTGAATGAGTTTTGGAACTATTTTGAGTTTTACCTATTGTTCTCCTAGTGCTCTCATCCTCTATCCAAATTTATTTCCCCAAAATCTCTATCTCTTCCCTTAAATTGAGATTTTTATCTACAACAACCTGCTCACCATTTTTATTAAATGTCTATTCAACATTTCTCACTCTGTCTCAAACTCCTGAAATACCCTTTCCCATAACATAGTTTCCCTTCTTTGATCTTTAAGTCAGCTAACTAATATTCTAGGCTTTCCATTTGATAAACTAAAATCCGTACCTTTTTTTTTTTTTTTTTGCGGAACCAGGGATTGAACTCAGGCCCTTGCACTTGCCAGGGAAGCGCTTATTCCACTGAGACCTCTCCCTGGCCCCAGAAGGACTTTTTTTTTTTTCCACCAAATGACCTCAGGGTAGGTTTGGCTGGCTTGAGTTGTGGTGATCAAACCACAGCAACCTGAGCCTGACTGCTTTGTTGAAGCAGCCACTTAAAGAACTGAGCAAAGGGGCAGGCCCCCCTTACCATTATTTTTGACTCTACTCTTTATCTTATCCTTAATATCTGTCAGCACATTATTTTGATTGCATCTTCAAAATATGTATCAAAGTTAATGACTTTTTATCACTTTTCACCTATTAATTCCATAGTGTAAATCACTATTTTATCTTGTAATGATCTCTTAATTATTATCTTTGCTTCTACTTTTTCATTAGACTATCAAAATTTATGATGGTGCACAAATAGAATTTCCTCAGGCAGAATAATTTTGTCCAAAATTGACTTTACCATATCTCTTCCTTCACCATAAATACAGCTATTTCTTTTATTAAGTCCCAGTTCTGCCCTCTAGGAGAAACTCCCTGATTCATTTTTTTCTACATTTTAATTTCTTGGTTATTCCCTCTGAGTCACTTTTCCTTATAAAACCTGGCCTGTGAGCAATTTTCTTCAGTAAGATGTTTTCTTAACTGTTTCTGAACCTGACTTGTTCTGTACCTAATTGTACAAAGTATAGATTATACATTTTCAAACATTTATTCCATTCCATCTTGATGTCTTTAAATTCCTCAAAAATATTTGGCATTCTTTTTGTATAATTTCATATTATATTTTACTAGGCAAAAGTATCTCAAATCTTTTCAAAGGAAACACTTGTTGACTGTTGGCTTTTATAGGATAATTTTAGTCAAAGGATGTCACTATTTTTTCACAGCGAGTTTATGATGTGTAACTGTAAGCTGGTGTGAGAGCTTATTTTGTAGTTCAGTGGACCTAAGAAGACCATTTAAGGAGAAAATCATTCTTGAATGAAATCATTCATTTAAATCTGAATGAGATTTCGAAGCTTTAAGAATTATATTGATTGGCTTTGGGAGCAAACAAGTTTTTTGTTGTTGTTTTGTTTTTCTTTTCTTCCTGAGTTCCCTTCCTGGAGGAACTGAGAGTAAGAAACAGTTATATTCTTAAAGTCATTAATTTGAGGGGTTCTTTATATTTTATGTAGATTCTACTCAAAAAGCAAATAATTCCTTTCTTAGATCATGTTGCCATTTTGTATCTTATGATTGAAATAAGTTGCTATTTTATCACTTAAAATAGTAATCTTAACAGTAGCCTTTAGTTCAGTAAATACATGCTTTCTTATTTCCTACATTATTCCAGCCCCTTATTCTCATCCTTTAAAAGATACATCTTTTTCTAGCTTCCAATAACATTTTCTCACTTTTACAGAAATCTCCACCAACAGCCTCATGGAGACCACCTGTTTCTGCTATGTTTTCTCAGAGTTTTTCTAACTCTGTCTACCAGTGGGGCCCAGAGATAACACTCTACGTGTTATCTGGAAATGTATTATAAATGTATTGTGTTACTGGAAATGTATTTCTATTTATTAATAGTGCTTTACAGACCAACTGGAAACTAATGGTGTGAAACAGCTCCCATGTTATTGTATTTACAGGTTCCACAGGGGCAGGGAAGAAGGGTGAACATTATGGTGCTCAGATTCCGTTTCAGAGAAGTCAGAAGTAGAGGTGGTTCACATGGCTGGGAACAGAAATGCCCCCAAGGACGACAGCCAGCCAGGTGCACACACAGGGCTGAGTGCAGTCAGAGGTGTTCCCTGGAATACCAATTTGTGAGGGTTGCACGGAACCTAGGCTTCCCTTGTCCTGGTGGCCGCATTCCAAAGAGATGCGTAACAGAAAGGCATAAGCATTCCAAGACAGGCAAGGGCACAATTTGTGACTCCTCATGATGCTGTCTCAGGAGTCACACGGTGTTCCTTCTAACAGAGAGAATGACTTCTAGGGAGTGGCAGCATCGCAAATGTCCTGATTGTGAGAGATGGATCACAGATCTCACTGCTCTGTGAATGAAGAATAGACAATTTTGAGACTTTTAAAATCACTGCTATATTATATATAATTGAAATCCAGACTGTACATCTACTAGGCCTCTCATTCTGAGGAAAAAAGTGGAAAGAGTGAAGAAGAAAATAAATTGGCCTTCTATTTACTCACTTTAACATGATATGATAAGAAAGAAATGAATTTAAAAATTATTTGTATACTTGCTTATAGAAATTAAAAGGCACATGAAAAGTACCCAAAAATGTTGGCCTGTGAAAAAGATTAAAAAATATCTGCTGACAGACACCCAAACAAAGGAAATTAGGTAGACAAGAGCTGTTAGTAACAAGTCCACATGCTTTTTCCCTGTCTTCACTTTCCACCTTGTTGTGAGGAACATTTTAAGGTTGCTGTCTTCTCACCCACGTTTATAGCTTCAGGTGACCACAAACGCTCCTTAAATTTACACTCAGCAGAAAAACTTGCCAGTGTCGAAAACTTGAACGGACCGAGAGATCTATGATCAATAAAATGAGACAAGCACAGAAAACAATCACCACATGAACTGTCTCTTCTTTGGAAACTGAAGAAGTTGATCTCATAGAAATTGAGAAATATGATTACTAGGGACCTGGGTGAGTATGAGGGAGGCATCAAGCGGGGAAAGGCTGATCAATCCAGGGGTGCTAAAATACTAGATGAAGACAGAAAAGAATTCTGATAGTCTATTGAGTAATAGAATGCGGCTACTACTGACCATATACTTCAGAAAACTAAAGAAAGCATGTTGAAAATTATCACCTAAAAAAAATGACAGATGTTTCAGTGGGTATGTCTACTTGTTTTAAATATTATGCAACATATACTAAAATATAACTCTATCCCATTATGTCCAAAATTTGTTTTGATTTGTTGGTTAAAAATATTATATTTAAGGAAAAATATGATACATAAAAACAGAAGATAGAGTAAAAGGCAAAACTTCACAACTGTGGTTAAAAATGGCTTTGACTATAGCTACTCAGGTATGGATATAAGTAAGGAAATAGTTCACAAATCAGGTAAGTTTTGAGAGATTTATATTGCCAGAGAAACTGTGAATGGGGATTAAAAAGCTTATTGCCTTAAATAATTTAATGTCCATATGCATGACCATAAGGAAGAAGGCTTTGAAAGCACTATAGCCTCATCAAAGTAAAATATGATTCCAAACTCAATCTCAGATTGGTCATTCAGGCAGAAGGGTAAGTGAGAACTTATCATGGACCCGGAGCCAGAAATTACAACAAAAAACTGACAAGTGCTTCACTTTCAATAACAGGATCAGGGCCATACCAAGAAATGTGTTCAGTTACCAGGAAACGAACACCTAATAGTCCATATCAGAAAACTTTTTTTATTACTACATGTTTTTGATACCCATGTGTAATCTCACCGATCTTCTATCACGAATGAAAATTTTCAATAATGTTTCTCTAACTCCGTTACCATCTAAGTAGTTTGGGGCAGGGAGAAAAGCTGACAACATGCCCTATAATTTTCAGGTCTCCGTAAGAAACTACTTTCTGAAACCCTGAACTGTTTGGTAGTTCCATGGACTGGATAAGCCTTTAGGTTGTCTCCATTGATGTGTAGAACATGTCTTCAGTTTGGAAAGGAAAATAAGTGTATATGTTTTTCTGGTGGTTACAAGACCAAACTGTCTTTCAATGCATTCCTCACTAACAGAATTAAAGATGATTTTTTTCAGTGGAAGCACACCAGAGAATGAGTCTACACACTTTGTGCTTGTTGTGACTATGCCCAGTTCTCAGCAAAAATAAGTAAAAATGTGTTTTGTTTTTCACCCAAGTTGATAATCAGTAGAAATCTTTCCTTTCTTTACACCAACTTAATATAAATGAGCACATCAAATCCAAGGTGTGTGTTGGAGATACAAGGGCCAGAAGTGGAAGATTTCTGTCCTTACATCTCACCTGAGAGGAAAGCTGCTTGAAAAATCATGGCCTAATCATGTGGACTTTATGGAATTGATAAACAGAATTCTGCTCTTTAGAAGAAGGGCTTATTTCAAATGGAATAAAACAATTTGTAATAAAATCTGTGATAAAAATTTACTGCAGTAAAGACATGAAGGTATAAGAGTTAATAGATTGTATTATGATAGATACAAAATTCAGTTTCTTATACACTCAGAACATAAGACCAAAGCATATATATTGACCCCTCCATACTGAAAATAGTTAGATAAAATATAATTACTGCATGCTAACTGATTGCACCACTGGAGCTTCTGCTAGATAAAATAAAACTAGCTTGGAGAATGAAATTAGGCAAGCATTGATCCTTCCATTCTACAGTTACTGAGCTCTGTACTCTTTTTCTACAGTTGTAAAGCATACTGGCATGTGTCAAATAAATCTCTACCCTCCAAGGATGTAAGCGAAGTAATAAATGCC